CTGCCTTTGCCCCCCCCCCCCCAGTACTGGGATTAAAGGCATGTGCCTCCAACGCCCGGCTCCCCCTATTATTTTGAATAGCTGCATTTTGTAGTATAGTCCTCTTTTACACAAGGTATTTGTTCTTGGCTTTTAGGAGAGCCACTGAGGTGGCTCAGTGGGTATGACACTTGCTGCCATACCTGATAACCTGTTTGATTTTTGGAAACCACACAGTAGCAGAGAACTGACTCCTTCAAGTTGTCCTCTGACCTCCATATATATACACACAGATAAATGTGCTAAAATATTTAAAATCTACAGTATATTTCAGGGCTAGGATTGGGTTTTACTTTATCAGCAGGCTGACCTGTTAGACTGTTTACTATTTCAGGATGCCAGTCTTCACATGCCCAGGTAATTTGTGTAAGTGTGAAGCGGCGTCTGTCAATCATGGCAATAGCAGATAGCATGGCTTTCCGGAGTTGATAAGGCATATAGAGGAACCGATGCAAAGGCTCCAAATTTGAAAGCAATTCTGAACAGTGATTCTATGGACAGAATTTAAAGTCAGGTGGCCTCTTTGCCCTGTGTCTCCTTTATGTCTTTATTGGACAAGTTGACAGTCACTTGCAAGCTGGTCATTGTGGTGAATCCTGTGAGTGTGGAGGATTCAGCTTCCACTTTAAGTATTCTGAGACTGTAGGAAGCCATTTAGGATCCTGGAGAATAAAGAGAATGGGAAAAAATATAGACAAGGGAGAAAGTGCTTCTTGGGTGACTGTTGGGTATCTTTGCTGCATGATAAATTATCCCAGTGCACAACAGCTTAGAACAACAAGCAATTTCTCGATCAGATTTTTGGGATGAGGGATGAGATGGCTTAGCTCCGAGGTTCTGATTCAGGCACTCTGACAGGGCTGCACTCTTTGAAGGCCAGTCTGCATGCAGCTCAGGAATCTGTTTCCAAGCAGGCTCATACACCTCCTGTTTCTCCTCACATGGGTGGGAGTCCCCATAGGGAGTGGGCATCTTCATATCAAAGCAGCTGCTTCCCTCACAGTGAGTGACCCAAGAAAGACAAGCAAGACAGAAACACACACACACACACACACACACACACACACACAGCATTATTCACAGTCCAACTTTAGAACTGAGGCTATAGCTCGTTGATCCCACAGATCAGCTGTGACATGATGGAGAAGATGAAAGAAAGGGTCACAATCAGTGGAGTCACTGTTTTGGAGACAGGGACTCATGTAGTCCAGGCTAGCCCCAAATGTTGGGATTACTGGTGTGCACCGCTCTGCCCAGCTCTCTGGGAACTGTTCTCAAAGTAGTTACCCTGGTGACTTCACCTCCTTCCTTCTCTGACTACATTCTAGTGATGCTGCTGAAGGCCAGGCGTGGAGATTTGGTCTGTGAATACTGGAAATGTGTTGAGGAACTACATAGAGAGGCTGGGGAAGCAGTTGCTCTTGCAGAGGACTCAAGTTCAGTTCCCAACACCCATGCCAGGCAGCTCATAGCCATCTATAACTCCAGCTCCAGGAGACCTGACTTCCTCTTTGCCTCCACTGGGCACCTGCACTCGTGTGTGTGTGTGTGTGTGTGTGTGTGTGTGTGTGTGTGTGTGTATCCCCCACCCATGCACATAATTAAAAACAAAAATTTAAAAATAATGTGAGTTAGAACAAATAATAATGTCTGTTCCCTCCACACTGAAGATTATAGTGGGAACATGGATCTGTTTGGAGATATAGATGACATTTCTTCAGAGAGCGATGAGGACCAGAGAACACCTGTTCCAAGACAGCCTGTTATGAGTACAGTCAACCAATCACATCTAATCACAGAATTGAAAGCTAGGAGAAAATGTTCAGAAAAGGTTCGTGAGAGTTTTGTCTCATGTTGAGAGGGTGTTCATAGAGGACTAACTGTGTGGTCACATTCTTAGCTGAATTGGGCATCTGGGGAAATAATTAGAAGGCAAAGGAGGAACCATTAGAATAAGATGAATGCCAAACTTTAGGCACAGGGCTGAGACTCTTGACTTGCAAGCCTTTGATTTAAAAGGTCTTTCTTATCCACGACTGTGCTGTATGAGCAATGTTGATAATCTCTTCTGATTTTAGTAGTTACTTAGTAATGAAGGGTTGAATTATGCTTCTTGAATGTCATGCAAAATAGAAAAACAGCTATGCCAAAAAAATACATCTCCCTAGTAATGCAGGAGAATATATTTTATTCCCCATGTGAGTTGTTGTTTTTCTTTGTGGTTGTGGTTGTGGTGGGGTTTGGGGGAGAGGCTTGGACAAAGGAATGGCTGGCTAGCCCTAAAGTGGTGTCTGACTTGACTTCCTTTCAAAGCTGTGTCTACCAAACGCAGAGCACAGCTGGAACATCCCTCCTGTCTCTTCACGATCTCCCATTCTGACCCCTCCCTTAGGGCGGACGTGGAGTACCTCCGAACCAGCATGTGGAACGGCGAATCTCTGAAACCAGAATAAAAATAGAAATTCCCAGCATCAACTCTGACTTAGGAAACGAATTGTATTTTGTTAAACTACCAAGATTTCTCAGGATAGAACCCAAGTAAGAGAAAAAAAGAAAAAAAATCAAGAGATTGAAAAAAAAAAAAACTGTATAAAAAATGTCAATTAACTGTTACAAGTTGATCCATCATAAGATGAAAGGTTTCTTGTGTGACTGAAAACAAGAGAATAAGTTAGTGCAGAGAATTAGACCGATAGCAGTCTTCCTAGCCACTGGTCCTCCGCTGTAAATGAACAGGTGTCACGTGACAGTGTCACTCGTGTAAAGCTGAACATATGGAATGAGAGTGAGTGAGATGCCGGAAAAATCACGGGTGACCAGTGAAAATGACACTGAATGTAGACCAGATATTAACTTCAACAACAAAATAGTGTTGGCTGTTCTTACTCACTGAGAGAGGCACACAGGTACAAACTCCATGGGGTAAATTTTTACCCCTGAACTAAACAGAGGTTTCAGGTTTTAATTTGTTGTTAATTTTTATTTATTTATCCTTTTAAAATATAAAAATGTCATGCCCAGATATTGGCTAATTAAACTAAGGGACTTTTTTGTTGTTGTTTTTTGAGACAGTGTCTCACTATGTAGCCATGGTTGTCCTTGAACTCCATGCACAGACTAAGCTGGCCTTGAGATCCATCTGTCTCTGCTTCCTGAGTGCTGGGATTGAAGGCAAGTGCCACCGTACCTGGCTCAAGATGTCTTGCTTTTTTTTTTTTTTTTTTTTAATGGATGGGTCAGGTATTCATAAAATCTGTTTCCTCAAAGAGGATTTTGAATTAGAGTTTAGATTTTATTTCAGGAAGTTTGTCTTAAAAAAGAAATTTCAAGAAAGTAGTCATTGGCATATTTCCTGACGATTCTCATGAAGTTATCTGTCAACTGTGACGTATGTAGTAGAGACAAATGGTTTATAGTGTTAATCAGTAATTAATTATGGCTAATTGGCAAACATTTTTAGACCTTTTGACCCTCAGCTTTATGAAGATGAATTTGAAGATGAGAAAGTGCTTTATGAAGAAGACAAAACTAGGTTAAAATTAAAGGTACTATTCCGTTTCCAGTTCCTTTTTTCTTCTAGTCCCCCCCACCCCCCCCCCTTAGCCGTCAGTTTAGCTGTGGCCACAGGCATGCACTACCATCCCAGGCTAAGTTCTTCCATACATGTTTTTAGAGACTTACTTAATTCATGCGTTTGAGTGTTTTGACTGCATGTATGTAGGTGCACCATGTTTGTGCCTGGTACCTGAAGATGTTGGAAGAGGACATCCAGTCCTCTGGACCTGAAATTTATGGATGGTTGTGAATCACTCTGTGGATGCTGGGAACCAAACCTGGAGTCACCTCTCCAGCCCCCTAAGTTTTTTCTTTAGACAGTAAACACAGGGATGATAATATGAGACCTAAGCTTGAGAATGTTCCTAATGCTTCCTGCTTACTCAGCAAATAACTCTAGAACATGGAAGTAATGGCCTTTCCAGATATTTAGGGCAGTAAAGCACACACATTTTCTCTGTCCTCTATAATAACATTTTTCTTGTTTTCAAGAAAACATTTCAATGTTTTCAGTTTTTATTTCTTTCCTTTGTTATTTGTTCTTTGTTTGTTGTTGTTGTTTTGTTTTGTTTTTCAAGACAGGGTTTCTCTGTTGCTTTGGAGGCTGTCCTGCAACTAGATCTTGTAGACTAGGCTGGTCTCAAATTCACAGAGATTCGCCTGCCTCTGCCTCTGCCTCCCGAGTGCTGGGATTAAAGGCGTGCCCACCACTGCCTGTCCTACTTTTTATTTCTTTGAGACAGGGTTTCTCTGTGTAGCCCTGGCTGTCTTGGAATTCGCTCTGTAGACTAGGCTGGCCTCGAACTCACAGAGTTCCACTTGTCTCTGCCTCCCAAGTGCTAGTATTAAAGGTGTGCACCTTCATTGCCCGGCTCTCAGTGTTAAACTTTAACGGAAACAAAGGTAGTAACTGTTGAAACTCACTAGCTTCCCTCAGATAAACAATGTTGTAGGTGTACGCTCCTTCTACACACACTTCCTTCCAAGTATATCCCAGCAGCCTCCTCCCACAGAAGTGTCTCGTCATGGAGACTGACTTTGTGCACAGCAGCAGACCTTGCCATTAGGGGATTTCTCTTGAGAATACCTGGGATGACAAAGTACTACCATTGTTCATGCAGACATGTTACCTCCCCAAACTCTAGGTGGTAACTCTAGGTGTGGTTCATTTTTAGTGCTCTTTTGTGACTTGGAGTTTTCTATTTCATAAGTTAATTTGGACTCAAACAGAACTAAGTATAGGTCTCAGCTTTTGTTTTTGTTGTTTCCAAGACAGGGTTTCTCCTGTGCAGCTTTGTATACCAGGCTGCTGCTTCCCGAGTGCTGGGATTAAAGGCATGTGCCACCACTGCCTGGCTAG